ATCTCCCTGATTTGGTCTTGAGTAACCCCGGCTTGCCTGATGATGTTGCAATATTGACAATAATCGGCAATGTGAAGATTCGGGTCTTCACCCTTGGCTCCACTAAATTGCTTCCTCTCTATCATCGTTATAAATTGAGGTTTGATTTCGAATTGAACCCCATCAAGAGCCGGAGTAGGGGTGAGATGTGGAAAATCCGTAAGCTTTGGTTGTGAATAATCACTAAGCTTCTTTGGAGCCGTCATCTCTGATTCTGCGTCTGATGATGTCTCTAAATCGCTAGAATCAGTTGGAGGATCGCGGTGATTATTATTATTATCACCAGAATCCGCCAGGATTTACTTGTAGAAATTTTTCTGTCTATGGAAGGAACGTTCGACCTCAGGATCGAATGGGATGTAACCTGATCTGGAACACCTGGGCATAAACAAAAACTAGAAGCAAATATGAGATTTGTCTCGGAGAACTAACGTTCTCTGAGACAAAAAGGGAAATAATCTAGACTACAAAAACAATCAGAAATAAAGATAAAACCGTTTCCCCGGCAACGACGCCAAATTTTGACAGGGTAAAGTCGTATCCCCTAATCAAAAGTAAATACCTAAATCCTCTAACTAAAGTAGATAGGGAAGTAGGGTCGATCTCCACAGGGAAACAAGTCTTTTTACTCCTAATTAATTATTATAATCTAAATTATCTAAGTAACCAATATTTATATTTGAGTATGAAACTAAACTACAAAGAATAGGAATAGGGAGAAAACAATATATAGAAGGATCTAGGGCATAGGTTCACCAATAAATAATACTCCAGGGTAAAACAAAGTAATCAATCATTGACATTGCATAAATAACATGATTAACAAGCTCTCGCAATTTATTAATCAACATAGATCTAGCAGGCTCTCGCAATTTATTAGATCTAAGTTCTTATTGAAAATAGCCTTTAATATTAAATTAACATCTGCTCGATTCACCAATTCAATATTGCTATACTTTTACAAGCCGCAATTGTAAAACATTAAAACAATCCAATAAGAAATTATCATGCAATATCAAAAATCAATAATAGTCAATCATCAATGCATCAATTAACCAGATTGTAAAGGGATTTCGCTACGTATTTGGGGATGGAAATATTAAGTGGATATCCACAAACCCGCTCCACCTGCTATAAATATATGGACAAAAACCCGAATTAAATGGATGAAAAGTGGGTGACGGATGAAGCGGGTGATGGATCGGATCTGATGTGGATGATACTTTTTTCATCCGCTAACCATCCACCCACCCATTTAACATATATTAGATTTTTTAATTTAAGAATTTTAATAATAAAATATGAAATGTGCAAGAAAATTACTTATTTTTTATGTTGCAAATTAATTTTTCAAACATATATTGTTATTGTTTCATTTTTAATTAATAAAATAAAAAAAATTATTGTACAAATAACCGAATTTAGAGTTTATGTGAGTTTTTTTTTTCCATTTTAATACTTATCCATTAATCATCCGCTCCACCCATTTCATCCGCGGATGATGGATGGACGGATATGGATGATGGGTGAAGCGGATGATGAATGGATATGGATGGAGCGATTAAAGTAATGGATGGATGCGGGTGAAGCTCCACCCGATCCGAATCCGATCCATTGCCATCTCTATACGTATTACAATCACAGAATTAATCTACCGGTATTAAATCTCATCTCTCGAATCTCGACTTAACCATTTATAAATTAATCTGCCTATTGAAACTAGACATAAACATTAATTCTCATCTCTCGAATCTTGAATCAATATTGTCAAACTCATTCATAAAAGATAGGCCTAATCTAGTCACAGAGCATTAAATCAATCAATAGGAAATTAATCTAGCATTTATAATCAACAACAATAAATTACCCCTTCATATTATTTATTAGATCCCCATAAACCCTAGAAATTAAACTACTCACACATATTAAAAACTAAACAAATCAAAGCAATAAAATAAGACATGATTAAAGGAATAGAATAAATAACTAAGATTAAGAGAAGAGGAATCGTTACCAAAATAAATCTGGAATTAAGAGTAGATTAAGAACAAAAGTTTAGAGAGAGAATTCTAAGAGAATAATTAAGAGAGTAAAGAAAGTAAAGTGGAGAAGAAGAAGAGATCCTAAAATCGTATTATGGAGGAGTATTTATACTCCGTACAAAAATCCTAAACTAAAACAAATTAAAACGACGTTAAGCGTCTCCTAACAATAACACGTGCCCGATCGGGCGAGGCACCGCCCGATCGGGCGCGCCTTTTTTGCTCATTACTACTAATCTCGCGCCCGGCCGGGCGCGTCACCGGGCGCCAGCCTAAGCTTCTCCCGCCCGCCCGAGCGCGCCTCCGGGCGCCAGCCTTTTTGGCCGGGCGGCTCATTTGGGCCACTATTTGGACTTCGATTGGGCTCCAATTCTTCGGGCCAATCTGGGTTTCCTCTTTGGGTCTTGAATACTCGGTCCAAATGCCCCGGTATCACCTATACCAAGCCCTTAATCACCGGTTCGATGGCTCTAACCGGCCCTGGGCTATTGAATCTGGTGGTGCTTCTCCAATGTTCGTGATTGCTCCAAAATATCTCGTAAAAATACTCCAAAAGCATAAATCCCTGCAAAAGTCAACCAAATCTACGAAAACACTAGAAAACACCAATTAGTAATAAAAGTGGCTCTAAAGAGCCAAAAACACTACTAATCATGACCAAGGGACGGGGGTAAAATACTATATAAAATAGACACATCATAACGCGTTTTCGAAAATCAGATAAGTTTGCCGTACTGGAGGATAAAATCGTATCTTTTCCTCGAAAATGCTTTTTGATTTTAATTAAAACTCTGAAAAGTCAACAAAAGTCAATTTATCAATGCTAATTGAATTAGGAATGAAAAGAACCTTCTAGAAGAATCTAGAAGACTAAAACCATTCCTAATTGCATTAGGAATGATAAATCATATTAGGCCCTCCTCTAGATCATTGGGCCGTACATAAAGCTTAAACCGGGCCCAGTTTGGTAAATTGGCCATAACTTCCTCAATATTCATCGGAATTGGGCTTATAATATATCGTTGGAAAGCTCTTGTCAAGCCCCATCCAATTACACTACTATTGGACCCATATCATGGACCAACCAAACTGTATTGGCTATTTTCTAAAAATAAGTTTTCAAAAACAGAGAGAAGAGAAAAGAAATTAAAACTATCCGCAACACTAGACTTTCCACACTTTCACTTCATTCGATTATGATTCGACATGAGAGGTACTCATCACTGGGTTTGGTTTTGGGGAGACACAAATAGGTGTCTACAATTAGTAATGTGTTGCTATTATATTGCTTTTAATAATACTATTCTATCTGTGTTATTGGTGGGTAGATAATGGGTGACAATGAAGATATGGTTGACATCTGTCTAAGAGTGGGGGGTGCTTTTGTCCCTAAAAGAGTTAGCAAAGATAGACAGTTGCTTTGTTGGTGTGGGGGGTGGTGTTATTGTAGAAGAAAAGTCCAAGTGTCTAAGTTGGATGTACAGGAGATTAGGTCAGCTGTAATTCATGGATTTGTTAATGGTGATATGGAGGTGCCTGTGTATTTCAACTGTTGGTATAGGCAGAAGGGGAAAACATTTAACACTGGTAGAAGAGAATTAATCAACAGTGATGAAGTGAGAGGCCTTTTAGAGACTAGAAATGGAGAGGGGTATGTTGAAGTCTTTGTCACAGCACAGCCTAATTTAAAGCCCATAACTCAGCTCAACCCAATTCCCACCCAAAGGATAAGGTTAGTAAAAAAGTGAGGAAGGGTCAAAGTACTTCTACTGTCAGTAATAGGAGTAGCCCTAGGTTTAAGAAGGCTGAAACTAAAAAGGAGGAAAGTCCACCAAGGGAGAATTTTTTGAGGCAGAAATTGAAGGGGAAGGTTGCAGAAGCTGGAGTGTCTTGTAGCTTAAAAGAGAAGAGTAAGGTTAAAGGTAAAGCCTCAGAAAAGGCTAAAGCATTGGTGTTTGAAGAGCAGGATGTTGGTGGCAATAAATCTGATTACTCTAGCTCGGATTACAGTGATGATGACTTAGATTGGGAACCAGGTGAAGAAGAATTTGATGAAGGGGATGAAGAATGTTTTATTGATGGGTCTAAGGAGATCCTAGATAAGGTTAACAAGACTTTGAGGAAACTCCAAGGCAGTGGCATAGATCAGGGTGTTGTTAAAGATAAGAGGTCAGATTTGAAAGATGACCTGGATATAGGAACAGTCAGGGTCAATCAAGAGGCTGAAGATGGTGATTCAGAGAGTTCTAGAAGCTTGTGTGAATCAGAGGAGGATACTGCTCCATGGTTTAATGAAGATGTGGACTTCCAAAAGCCCATCCAACTGCAGCTAAGGCAAAAGTTCAAGAATGCTGAAATCTTGAGAAGGGTATTGAGACTGCATGCCATACAAGAGAGGTATGAGTTTTATTTCTTGCATAATGACACTAGGAGGATTATAGTACAGTGTAGGTATAGATGTGACTGTAAGTTCAACAGTTATTCTTGTAGAATGCCTGCATGTACATGTGTGGGGGGAGTAAAGTGTCATTTTAAGGTGTATGCATCAAAACTAGTGAAGTAGGAAATTTGGCAAATTAAAATCTGTAAATTGAAACACACTTGTCTTAGAGTGAAGAAGAACAGGATGATTATTGCTGAATACATAGCAGACAAGTACTTAGAGGAGATTAGGAGTAATTCTGCATGGAGAATTAAGGATATTAGGGCTAGGGTTCTTACTGACTTGGGAATTGAGGTGACATACTTTAAAGCATGGATGGCTAGGTTTAGGGCTAAACTGATCATATTTGGTTCAGCAAGGGATCAGTATGCTAGGGTGTGGGATTATGGAAGAGCTGTGATGAAGTATAACCCTGGTTCTGGGTGCAATGTGGTTGTGATGGTATAGACAGTCTTTAGCCCCCTTTGTTTTTGAGAATGTTCATTTGTCTGAGGCTTTTGAGAGATGGCTTTGCTAAGGGTTGTAGGCCAATGATTGGGGTGGATGGTTGTCACCTCAAGGTTGCATATCCTGGACAAATCCTGGTGGCAGTAGCTAAGGATGGGAATAACAACCTATTCCCTCTAGCTTGGGCAACAGTGGAGGCAGAGAATAAAGAGAGTTAGGGTTGGTTCTTAGAGTCCCTTATGGAAATGTTCACACATGATCAAGGAGAAGGGCTGACAATAATGTCAGACAGGCAAAAGGTAAGAGTTCATGTTTTTACATATTCATTTTTAGTTGTTAATCTTATCTTTATGTAAGTAATTATGAAGCAATGGCTGATGTAGTTCCAAAAGCTGAAAAAAGATTTTGTGTTAGGCACATTTGGGCAAACTTCAAGCTCAAATTCCCTGGGTCAACATACAAGGAACTGTTTTGGGCAGCAGCTAGAACAACAACTGAAGTAAGTAATATTCTCATACATATTCAATGTTTGTTCTTATCTTGCTTTTGAACTGGTTCCTGTGCTAAATTTGCTTACATTACTATCAGTTTAACTTCAAATTTGCCATGGACTCTATCAAAGAGTTATCACAAGAGGCATATGATTATTTGGTGAGCATTCCCACCCAGTCTTGGTCAAGACATGCATGTTCATCTAACTGCAAGTTCAACATGTTGTTAAACAACATGTGTGAGACTTTCAATGCAGTCATCAGGCCTGCCAGAGATAAGACTATCCTCACCCAAATGGAATGGATGAGGAGGTATGTAATGAATAAGAACAATGAGAAGTAGGAGGATTCTAAACAAATTACAAGCAACCTTACCCCTTATGTGAGGAATGTCTTGGCTAGGATAGAATTTGTTGCTAGGAAGTGTGTTGTGCAACCATCAAGAGATGAAACATTTGAAGTGCAGTTGATGGATGATCAAGAGTGTGTGGACTTACAAAAGGAAACTTGTACTTGTTATCATTGGGAACTAACTGGGATTCCCTGTGTGCATGCTTATTCATGCATGATGGACATGAGGGGTGACATAGAGGCATATGTGGACCCTTATTACACCATGGACTCATACAGGAAGGCTTATGAACCATGTGTCCAACCCATGCCTGGTCCCAAACACTGGGAGAGAGTGAATATGAGGGAACCACAACCTCCTACATTTAAGGTACAACCTGGAAGACCAAAGAGCAAAAAAAGAAAACTTGAACCAGGGGAATTTTCTACTGCAAGTGGACAGCCAAACACAGCAAAGAGGAAGAAACAATGCAATAAATGTGCAGGTTTTGGTCATTATGCCAAGACCTGCAAAAAACCTGCTGCGCCAGCAACTGATGAGCCAAGGCCGCCAATCAGACCACCCTCCAATACTCCTTGGATGGTGGAGGAGAGGAAGAAGAAAGAAGTCAAAGCTGCCAAAAAGGTATAACACTTGAAACATGTGTTTTTGTACTTTTATTAAGTTAGTTCTCCAAGCTGACTTAGTTATTCATTCCTAAAACAGAGCTCAAGTCAGCCAAAGGTAAAGCAGCAGGTTAAGTCAAAGCTCAATGCTTCCTCCAGCCAGCCTGCAACAACATCAGTTCAACAACCGTCACACACAGGTATGATAACAAGGGGCAAGCTGCAAAATATCAAGGGTGTAAACCTCACTCAGTGATGTAATAGTTAGAAAACAATGTGTTTTTATGTTTCACTTATGTCAGTTTTTTGTTGGGTTGTCATTAGCGTTAACATTTGAACAATCAGAAACTTGGGTTAGGTATATTTTGTATGGCCCGCTGTCATTGCCATTAAAACAGGTTGAAGTAAACACCTTTTAGAAAGTATTTATGAATATTTATGTTCACTTCACCAATTCCCCAATCAATCCCTACTTTAATGCATGCATGCTTTCAATTTCAAGTTAAAACCATTTGGAATGAACAACAAACACATGATAATAAATAGTTGGAATTCATTCACTAAAATATTTGGAAATTTGGAATTTCATTACACAAAAGATCCCAACACTTCAAGTCACAAAATGATAATTCAAACACCTACTTCTATTAGCTTACAACTACACACCCCTAACCATTAGGAAAACTACACCAATTGACAAACTAATACAGATAGCCATGCCCACCCATAAATAATTCACTAAAGAGACCCCCCCTACCTTGCAGTCCCTGTTCATTCTCTTTCTTTCAGCATTCAAAGTCTTGCATCTCATCTTCAAATTGTCAACTTCATTAAGTAGGCACCTCCTTTGCCCATTGATTTCATCAACTTCCCTTTTCAACTCATTCACTTCACCCTTAAGCAGCTTCTTATCCAACAAGAGGTTGTTGATAACCCCTGTTTGCCATTCTGTCCCATCGGGTTAATCAACCCATTCGAAGACCTTGCACCCCCTTGATTCTGTGACTGGATCAAAAAACTTGCAAGCTCTGAACTTCCTCCCTGGATACTCCCTAGTCCAGCTAGTTAGCCTCACCATTGCCACTCCGCAGTTGCATTTTTGCTCCTTTGAAGGGGAATAGCTCAAAGAAGACATAATCTACATCAATTGAGGATGAATATAACGTTTAGTGCTTTCTACACATACATACGAATTAAAATTCTCAACAACAACTTTCAATTAAAACTCATTAACATGAAAACCCCCAATTTCATTTTCAATTAAACCCTAACACCTGCAAATTGTGCATTTACATGACTAAATTACTAATCCAATCACCAAATCCAGCATAATACATGACTACATTACTAAACTAACCAAATTTAAACAATAATAAACAACCTCAACTTGCCATTACATTGGAGAGAAGGTGCGATTTTGATGTATGAACAAAAATACCTGTTACTACCTTCAATTCCTCCCTCGTACCAAGCAAAACCTAGAATTCTTGATATGAAATCGCTTTTTGGAATGAAATGCGACCAGAATCAACTTATGTAATCGAAAAATTTGCTAACAAAAGAAGAAAAATGGAGAGAATCGTGCATTTATAAGAAGATTTGTAAAAACTATCCGTTTGAGTGGGGCCCAGTAACAGTTCCGTTAACAGAAGCAAGATTTTGGTGGTAAATTCTAATTTTAATTTTTTTATGTGGTGTTAAAATAATTATTTTTTGGTGGTGTTAATATCAATTTTCATTGATTTGTCTGGTGTTAAAATCTAAAATTTCCTTAAATTGGAGTATTGATTTTTATAACGTGTTTTGATTTATTAATTTATTATTCATGTTTAAAAAGGATTGATTTTGAAAGCATGTTGGATTTATAAAAAAAGGGTTTGGATTATTATTATTAAAGGTCGAGTTATTGGATTTAAAAGAGAATTTATTGAATCATTGATTTATTATTATTTATGCTTTATAAGCATGTTGGTAATCCCACTATGCGGATATGGTATATTGATAAGGTCTTAGACTTTGCATGACCGGGTCTTTCCTCAAGAATAGCCTTGTAACATAAGGAGACTAACTTGGGGGGTGTGCACACTTGGGAGAGGAATTGGTTTAATTGGTTTTATTGGTTTATTATGAGGAATTGGTTTTTAATATGAGGAATTGGTTTTAAAATAATTGGTATTGGTTTTATTGAATATTGATATTGGAATATTGAGAATCGGTTTTGAATCATGAGTTTGGAATTATTGGATTAATTATTGGAATTGATTTCTAAAGCATGTTTACAAATAAATTGAGTTTAATTATCTTGCATTTACCGTACTTAGCATATTTTGCTAACCCCTACTTCTTATTTGTTTTGGTTTGCCTTGTTTACCGTAATGGTAAGCAGTGTTTATTTCAGGTGGAGTGAATAAATTAATGCATTGGAGTCCCGGGATTTGGTTTCATCAATTAGGAATCTTGGTATTTGTATCTATTTTTGAGTACTCATAACATTGGTTACTATTTATGGTTATTATTAATAAAGAAGAGTATTGAAGTTTCCGCTGCAAAGTATTATTTTGTTTAGTAAGTTGAGTAGCCTTGCGTAATCACGCGGCGATAATACGCCTAAGTCTATCTCGACGGTATAATTATACGTATTATACTAGTATTTTCGTAGAGGGAGATTTGGGGGTGTTACACTTTCCCCCTAATCACTGCCTGACAACCACCTCCTTGATTTTGAAAACACTAGAAAATTTATTTGGGGGTTTTTTTATTTTGTGCATCTTGCTTGTAATTGATGCTTGTTTTGGGTTTGATTATGTATGTATGTGATGGTAAGGTGATTTAGAATCAAATTGCAATCAATTAGGGCTTGATTTAAGCATGTTTGAGTAAATAAGAGCAAAATATTCGAATGGGGTGGTGGTCGCCTATGGAGATTAGGGGTAAGGGAGGGTTAACCGGCGATGGCGGTAGGTCGTCGGAGATACCGGGATTTGGGCGACGGTCCGGTGGGTGAGGGGGTTGCTTCCAAGGGAGGGGGAAAGGGAGGAAGAAAGGGAAGGGGCGGTTGGTTGTGGTTGGGGTGGTGGATTTTTTTCAGTAATCTAATTATTAAGTAATTGGGTGAGTTAGAGGTTAATTAGAAGAAATGGGAGGAAATTAGAATCTAATTAAGTGAATTAGAAGCTAATTAAGAAAATGGGTTTCCTCTCGCAAAAATAATGAACGTGGTGGTTTTTTTTTTAACCAAAAAGCTTTTAAAAGATTTTTTTCGCAAAATGGTGCTTTTAAAAGGTTTTCTTATATAAACAATGTATCGCACGGATTCTGACCTAATACTTCTACTACTAATAATAATAATATAAACCTCAACCCATATAACATTAGTAAGCCCAAACCCAATAGCCCATTATGAATTTCTTACGAATTTTTTTTATTATTAATTCGGATTTGTTTTCTTTATTAGAGTTATGATTCTTAAGAATTTCTTAGAGCAACTCCAACGACAAGCTAATTGTCAAATTAGCTTGCCATGCCACATAAGCTTGTAAGCTAATTGTCATTTTAGCTCCAATGACTAGCTAATAGCTTACAATTTAAATAATAGACCACACCTCCTTAATTTAAGTTGATAAATTTCTTTTTATTTATTCTAATTTGTTTTATTTTAGAAAGTTTTTTTTCAAGCAAATTAGCTTAACAAAGCTAATTTGGTTGGCCAAACTATTTACATTTTCTAGCTCCAATGATTAAGCTAGTAGGTAGGAATTATTTAATAATGCAAGCAAATCCTTAGCTACAACTATTGGAATTGCTCTTATGAATTTTTTTATATTATTATTAATTCGGATCGGGTTGGGACTATGAAATTTTTATTTGTATTGGATTTTGAAAACTTTGGATTTGGACTATAAAATGAAAGTCCAAATATATTTCGGATTGGATAGACTAGCCAAAGTCCGAACGGATACCCCTACGACTCAATGGGCAACCAATCCTAGTAACGAGCTTATCGGTGAAAAGCCGGGAAACTCCCACACAATATTCTAATAAGGGCATTTCTCCACTGCCAAGCATCGGAAACAACACTCAACGCCAAGGCAGGAGAGAGAAAGATTCACAAATCGCCATTATCACAGCTCTCAATCAATTTCTGGTTTCTTTTTCTTCATATTTTAAGAACTTCTCAAATTCAATTCAAAGAAAAATCATCAACACCTAAAAAAGAAAAAAGGGAAGTTTTTCTAAAACCAGCAAAAATGGTGAAGACAACGAAAGGAGGCAAAGTCATGAACCCTACTGATGCTTATCGGAAGGAGCTTCGTAAAAAGGAATTGAAAAGGGTTAGTGTTTTTTCCCCTTTTTCTAATCAATTTCTTTGTATTATCACTTTGTTTTGAATTCTAGGGTTTTCATTTTGAATGTTTCGTATTAATTTTGATTTTTGCAATTTTTGTATTGGTTTAGGTATTTTTGTTATTGCTTACTGTTTATGTTTATTCAATTATAATTTTTAGTTGATATTTGAACAAAATGGAGAAATTTGTGTTGCATTGTTCTTGCCAGATTTTTAGAGCTTGTTGAATTGTTTGCGGTGAACTGGTGTTGTAAAATAAAGAGAACTTATGATTATTGTGATATTGTTGAATTTCGGGGGATTGAATTTCATACATTTCATGCCTCTGAGGAGGAGGAGGCTATTGATTTATGAATTGGAGGAGATTGGATAAGTTGATCACACGAATAAAAAGTTTGATTGCGATAACGAAGAATTTCTGTTGTCTTGTTTGTTTATCATACTTGGTGTTTGCTGTGTTGGAACCATTTTTCTTGGAATTACACTTGCAATAAAATAGAGTCATTACCATTACCTTTTTCACTTGTACTCCGTAACATTAAAGTTTGCAATGAATGATGGAAAACTGAGGTTTTTGGGAAACTTTGGTGTGAGTTTTGATTGTGGTTAATACCTAAAGAAGATTTGGAGTTCAAAGGATGACTTTTTTTTTTTTTTACTTAAATGTCAGTTATAAAGAAGTTTTTTGGGCAGAGCAAATACATTCACTTTTGACTATAAATAGTTTGGCAATGGTCTCTCTCTCTTTTTATTTTTATTTTTAAGCCCTCTTCTTTTTGCAACGATTTTAGATGAGGTAACTAAACCAATTCAAGATGAGGTTCCATGGTGTATGGTGTTTGCAAATGATATTGTTTTGGTGGATGAAATTAAAGATGGGTTTTTGCCAAGTTGGAGCAATGGAGACAAAGGTTGGTTTAGAGGGTTTAAGCTATATCCGAGTAAGACTTAATCAAGGTAATCAAGATCGGGATCCTACTTTGGATCGATGAAAGGAGTAGGATCAAATTGGTAAAATCGGATCGTAGAATCGTAAGATTCTACAAAATTGATAAAAAGAGTAATAAAAAGGTTGCTACATGATTTGATAACATTTTTTAAGCATAAAAATGGTAAAATTTATAGTTTTAGTAGTTGGATAGTAATTTTCTTAGCTTAGAAAAAAGTTTAATTGCTTTAGGCTCATTTTAAAAAGTCAATTCTGACCGATCCCGTACAACCTTGTAATAATTTAAGTGAAAAATAGAATCGTCCGATCCTACCCGATCTTACCGATCCTACGGCGATCTTGCCTACTCTGCGATTTTGCATCCGATCCGATTCGTTTGGCTATAATGGGATCGCAGGATCGCACGATCCTACGATCCAGATCGCGATTTTGACAACAATGAACTGAATATTTGGTATATCGCTTTGGTACTCAGAGGAGGGCAAGTGATGAAGTGGTAAGTTTGGATGGAAAGGAATTGACCATGAGTGAATGTTTTAAAACGTGGCCCGACTTAAATGGAGGGCTTAAATGGAGAGCAGCCACAGGAGTGTTATGTGATCGCAGCAGTCCGGGTAGGACTAGCTCTATGGTACAGAATGTTGAGTTTCTAAGAAGGAGCATGTTAAGAAGATGGAGGTTACAAAAATGCGCATGTTAAGGTGGATGTGCGGGAACACTCTAAGTGATAGAATCAGAAATGAGGTTATTCGTAAGAAAGTAAGGGTGACAGGCATTGCAGACAAAATAAAGTAAAATCGCCTGCGTTGGTTAGGCTATGTAAGACGGAGACCCGAGGGTGCATCGGTTCGAAGAGTGGGACCATGGAGGGATTAAACGACGGAAAGGGAGATCGAAAATAACTTGGTTAGAAGGAGTTAGGAAGGATATGAAGTATATGGATTTGCATGAGGATGAAGCATTGGATCATAAGGGTTAGAGGAGGAAGACTTTTGTGGATGACCACACAGAATAATCATATTTGGTTCATGTAGCCGACCCCACTTACGGGATTAAGGCTTTGATTGATTGATTGATTGTAGCACATGGAAAGATATAGATGCCTTTTTGAGTGTCATATGTAGAAAGTGCAGTATGGAGGGGCTTATTATAGGCGAATGTTGTCTGTTCGCCATTTATGCCGAATGGAATGTTAGCTAGAAAAAAACTTGATATCAGTGTTTGAAAAAGCGCTGGCCCCAAGGCAATCAGGGATGAGCGCTTAATTTGGTCTGGGCGAGGCGTTTTGGGTTATGCGCACAAAAAGTACCCGAGGTGCACCAAAAGCACCCTGGCGCAACCGAGGCGCACTTGAAGCAAACTTCAGCCAAAAATTTTTAATTGCGCCTCACTTCAAAGAGGCGCACTATTGCACAATCTAATTTCTGCTCTCCATTTGAGCCACCCAGAAGAGTCTATAGTCCCTTAGAAGTATTACGTGTAAATAGTAAGCATGATGGAGCTAATGAATTATGGATCAGAAAGACAAATTTTTCTGGTGGATATAAAGCTATTTAGTGTTAGTAGGTATATCCAGAAAATCATTTAGAGAAAACAGATGATCTTTCTGTTTGTATATTTGTATGTGGTGCCTAGTGCTACCAATTGCAAGATTCCCAAGTTTGGTTGCAGTTGCTGTACTGACTTTCAGCCTCAGGTACCTGAAAATTGAAATTGTCGAGGTAGAGTTTGACAGCTTGTAAATGATATAGTCACAGGAGCTGTGGACACCGGTGTTGTGGTTGTCATGTGTGTAGATGGAATTTTGGAGAGAATGACATTTGTGTTGGTTTACTGCTTTTGTTTTAGATATGTTTTCAAGATGGATCACTGGTTTCAAGGTATATTATGAGAATATTGTCTTGATCTTTAATTTGTATATAAATAAAGCTTAAGCTGTCATGATTTATATGATATGTTGTCATTGTACTACTTACGGGATTAAGGCTTTGATTGATTGATTGTCATTGTACTACAATCTTGATTGAATGCATTTGTTTAGATTATCCTTCTTATGACTCTATCTTATATCTATATGATTATTGGCTTGGACAGAACAAGAAAGAGAGAAAAAAGGTTCGGGAGGTTGGTCTTTTGAAGAAGGATCCTGATCAGATCAAAGATCAGATTCAGAAGTTAGAGATGATGAGTAAGCTGACATTACTGAAATTATTTGCTTCACTAGATATTGAGCAAAGTTTGATGGTCCTCATGCTTTTGGCACAATACATTTCCTCTATGCTTTAATATATTACTTCCTCCATTTTTTAATATTTGCAACACTTCCCGGAAATGGAAATGTCAGAATACCTACAACACACTATAATTCGAAAGTTTTTGTGGTAGAAAAGTGTACTATTAGTCTATTACCCTTATTTAATGCTCATGGCCCACTTAATTATACTCCTAACAATCACTCAACCCCATTTTAAGTGTGTTATATCATGTGAGACCCACTTTTTTTTAAATACTGTGAAAAAGTGTTTGTTGCAAGTGTTAAAAAACGGAGGAAGTATCTGTTTTAACTTTGAAAGTTTATATCTATTACTGTTTGTTTCTTTTTTATGTGAAGGAAACTTCGCAATGGATTGTTCACATAGCAATCTTTTCTGTTTGGATATGAAAAACAGATTTCATTCAATAGCACAACAAAAAAAGAAACCCAATATATCAAAACAGGATGCTTTTGGGAAAGCCCTGTAAGCGTGAGCTTAAATAGAAGCTTAATACACCACTTGCTCCACAAAGTATTCAATGAAGATTGAAGACACCTGACCATAGATAATTTTGTCATTTTGCTTCAATTGAATCATCTTCAAATAACTGAAAATTATCCTACCACAGTATTTATGCTCCTTACACCTATCAAACTTTATATAATAAATCTGCAATTGGTCTTGAAGAGTAGCAAGAGCAATCCAATGAATCCCAATAATCGTAAGTGACCTCTGTCAAAGTAACAATGCAACAAAACAATGTAAGAATAAATTATTTCCTGTCTTTTTACTATTAACACATTAAAAGAACACATGAGGTGAAAGATCCTTAAAAGGTCTGTGAGCCTGTAGATAATCAGAAGTATTGAACTTTCTAGAACTAGTAACTAAGTCAAAGCTTTCACTTGCATCTTTACACTTAATGTTCTGATTTTGCTTGCAAGTTGTCCCTTCTTTGCTGTCTCTAGTTGTGTTAGGATGCTTTCCCTCGAGAAAAGTGTTGTGTAACTTTTGTCAAAGAGAGTAATAGCAGGTTTTTGGCATTTGATGGTTGGTATGGGACTCCATCATGATCATGGTGATAAGGCTAGGAAAATTAAAAGTTTTTTGATATTTAAGTCTCCTACTGTATCGCTTATTTACTTTATAGTATATATCTGGCTGTTAGGTTTCTGTCACAGGAACACCTACAGAATTTCCATTTCTTAACGGCGTGCACTTGCCATTTGGGATTGAGAACTTTGTTGTTGTAGATATCTTTGGCTCTCTGCAATCTTTTATCTGACTTAATTGTTCATTCTTCCCCCCAAAATGCACAGAGGCTGAAGGTGCACTTGACAAAGCAAGAAAACACAAGAAAAGGCAGCTTGAGGATACTTTGAACCTTGTTATGAAGAAAAGAAAGGTATGTATGTATATGTTTGTCCTTTTTACTATCTATGTTATTTGCGTTTGGTGCCTCTATGTCCCAAAGTAAACATTAGGTAACTTGATATACGTATAGTTTTCCTGAGGGCACTTTGAACCTTGTTATGAGCAAGTATTTTTAGTTAGATGAAAAAGGAAAGGGTAAACGATACTCCCTCAGAATCTTGTTACACTTTGGTCCCCACACTCTTTCATTTAATTTTAATAATACCCTATTAATGTCTATCACATCTACTTTTTCAATAAAATAACAATTGATAAACAAACAACCACTTGTCACAATGTCACCTATAGCTTTGTGCAAAGGTAACGCAAGTTGAGTGCAATACTGTGACGCATGGAGTAGCTATAATAAAAAAATAAAATAAAAAATAAATAAATAAAACAATTAGAGGGGATCAAAATTGCTTTTTTTATTTTTATTTTTTACAACCTAGCAAATGTTTCATTCATGAAAACAGGTGGCCGTGAAGCAATATTTATACTTAAATAATGTAGAATGGGTAAAAAGAAGCTGCTGTAATATGTGGGATTTGAACCCAAGACATGAAATATTAATATAAGGGTCTATGTGAGCACTCTTTTCCTATTTACCGGCTGTGTTGTATGTGACACATGAGCTACGCTTAGGCACACTGTCTTGTCATTCACTCATTCTTATTTGTTTGTCCCTCCCTGAAACTTCTTTTGCTGTTTTATAAAAAAGGATCCTCTAAAGGGATTTCATACCGAAGAGATGTGAAGCACCAAAATATTGAGCTACTTGCGAAATACTTCTTCCATCCCAAATTAGGTGTCACATATTTCTTTTTGGGAAGTTTCTTGTTGGCTGTTTTGTTTCATTTTGAAACTTCTACATAGGAATAAAAAGTAAAGGGTGCCCTATAGGCTATAACTACTCGCTTTTGCTACTGCTCTACTTTAACCAAGCCACTGCCAGCCCGTGACCCCTTGACGCCGAAGCTGCCCTTGGCCAAAGAAAGAATTTTTTTTTCTTTTTTTTTTCAAAATACCCATACCTCCTTTATCATTGAGCAGTCATCTAGGGGTGGTGGTTTATGAGTAGTGGAGGAAGTTGGCAGTGGACTAGATAAAGGTGAGGGTGGTTCATTGAGCAGTCCTTTTGGGGTAAATTTTTTACCTTGCATTTACAAGCTACCCCACTTGCTTTTTCATCCTCTCTCACTCTCTCTCCTCTCCTTAATATATGTGCCTAAATCAAACGCATCAACTAAATAGAAACGGAGGAAGTATAAGGGAAGGAGAAAAAACTAGATAAGTTGAGTAATAAAATCTTAACTAAAATTTAATGGCCTTTATTTGTCCCATTTTTGAAATTGAAGTCCAAATGGATATGAACCATTATTTGAACTTGTAGTTTTGGTACACCTAGGTTTAAATATCTGAGGCCACGCTCCTTTGCTAGAAACGGAGAACCCAACCCATTATATCGTCAGGAATTCACATTGGGGCAATATCGATTAAAGTCGCATTGCTTTATATTATTGTGGGCTTTGATTTGCTACCCAACCCTCATGTGGAGCTTAGTTCCTACATGGAAAAGGCAATGAATGGAAAAAGGGGATGTCAAAATAATTGACTTTTGCATGAGTATTTTAGATAGACAAACAAGAAAATAAAATTTGTCAAAAAGTACCTTATAAAATTAGGTTTTGTGAGATAATTTTGTACTCCATCCGTTTTACTAAGTGTTACTCACTTACGTTTTACGCGGTCTCCCATAAACTACTTTGACCATCAAGTTCTTTGATTGTGCATTAGTAAAATTATACAAAGCAAGTATATTGAAAATTCATAACAATACTAATCTAATAAGATCAAACTTGATAATATTTTTTCTTATATATACACAATTAGACATGTTCAAAATTTTAAAACTTTGACCTTGTGAAGAGTAAATGGGTAGAACTCTAAACGGAGGTAGTATAAAAAAAATTATTGTAATTTACACCTCCCTTCGTCACTTTATAATCGTTACATTTGGAATCTTTCTTTGTTAAAGCGCGTAAAGATTAAAAATTGACGGAGGAAGTACCTTTTAAAGCATTTTCTAATGTAAGATGTTGACCAGCCCATGTGCTGATTACAAAACCATACATGAGGCATTTCCCTGATAAATAAATGCATGAAACCATAATGTGTGCTGGATTTTTTTTTGTTCTTTTCATTTTTGTATGACCTTGGAATAACTTGAGATGATATGATGATTTATGCTTTTGTTTGGCAGGAGTATGAAGAAAAAATGAAGGAAAAGGGTGAGGATCCAGTTATGTTCAGGTACTTCTCCTTTCATTTTGTTTTGTTGCAACAGTTATGTATAAAATATTTTTCTCTGATACAAGGTGAATCTGCTGCAGTCATTTGGGACCTGTACAGAGACGGACTTCAGCCGAAGAGGAGGAGAGAGCAAAGCATCCACAACCTGAAGTAAGTTATGCTTGATCCTACTTTCTTTTTGTTATACCCTCTGTTTCGCTCTGATAGTCTTGCTTAAGAGATCATGTTGAACATATAGTCTTTAAGTCTTGGTTAAAGATGATGCATTATCATTATCTCTGTAATGTGAAATGTAAATGGACACTGGGAGTGGAATTAAGAAAATTAGGCATCAGTAGTGGACACTGGACAGAAGAAATATATTTCGCGACTTTCTAATTTTTGAACTACTTTTGCCTGTTCCCCCTTATTTATTTATGTTTTATATGTCGTTTGTTTGTGTGGACCTATAGGATTCTGTATACTATCATCCAACGTTAAATCCCACAGGAGCTCCACCCCCTGGAAAGCCTCCTATGTACAAGTCTTCTATAGGTTTGTTCTTCTTCTAATAGCACCATTTTTATTTTTATTGTTATTGTTATCATTATAGCTCTGTTTATGGTCTACTCCTTGTGCCTGCCCCCTTTTTATTCTTACATTATATAATGGCAGGGCCTCGGATTCCATTGTCAGAAGCTTCCTCGTCAAATGGTGCTGCATCTTCTGTAGATCTTGATGGTGTTGAGTTGCCTGCACCGCCTCCGCCACCTCCTTTGCCGAATATGGGTGATCCTGATGACACTGATATACCCTCATCTCTGCCTCCACCACCTCCACCACCGATGCCTCCGAAGTCTTCGGATTCAAACTTGGCATCAGCATTGCCTCTACCTCTACCTCCTCCACCACCTCCTGGCCCTCCTCCTAGAGAGCTTATTGGAGTTCGTCCTCCACCCCCTCCGTCCACTCAGCCACCACCACCACCTGGTATTTCTGGAAGTGAGAGGGATGGCACTACTTCAAAAGATTCGCAGGTAATTCTCATTCGTGACTTTGGCAAAGGTCTCACTATCCCTGCAATAATGCTGCCCTCCCACCGTTTTGGTTGGAGGTTGGTATTTGTGGGCTGATGTCGTGATACCCATGTGTTATTATTTCAGAATTGATTACCAAATTGACTGAAGGATCAAGATGTACTTGGACCTGCAATTATGCTTCCCTCCCTCCTTTTTGGTTGGAGGTGGGTATTGGCAGGCTGACATCGTGATACCCTTGTTTTATTAGTTCAGAATTGAATGACCAAATTGACTGAAGGATGTACTTGAACCTTATATTGCTGCCTTATGTTTGATTGAAATTATATTGACTTGCACTTAAGCAATGCTTGCTTGGTTTAGTACTTGATTCACAAGGAGGTTTCTATAATGAGAAGTTATTGATATTGAATGGTAATTCTTTGCAGGGATCTAATATTCTCCTCCCTCCACCACCTCCACCACCTGGAATTCCCCCAAAATTTGCAGGGAATCAATCTGGTGTTGAACCTGATGCCGTAAATCAGGAAGTGGGCAATGATCTTCCAAAAATGGTCCCACCACCTCCATCACGGCAGCCTCCATTATCAGGTATGCCTGGAGGCCCAGGACCAGCTGCACTCCCTGCATTACAGCCTGATGTGCTACCCCCAGGCATTTCAAGATTCCCTCCACCCCCTCCACCAGACACAAGGCCACCATTATCTGCTTCTGGATTTCCAGGGCAACCTGTACCCCCTGGAATTGCACCACTTATGCCTAGGCCACCTTTTGGTCCTCCCCCTGGACCACCTCCTATGATGAGACCTCCACTTCCTCCAGGTCCACCACCGATGATGCTACAGGATGATTCAACTGCAATGAGGCCAACTGTTCCACAGAAACCATCTTATGTTAAATCAGCTGCACCCACAGTTGTAAAGAGGCCTCTAGCTCAGCACACACCAGAGCTCACAGCTATGGTATGTTTACTCTGGCTTGAAGCAGAAGCTGTTATTCTTATAAACCTTGCAGTCACTTGATGAATTGCACTTTTGAAATGTTTTCTGTTTTGCTTAGTATTATTTTGGTTGGATAGAGGTCTGGGTGGATTCTTTTACAGTATTTGATTTTGAGGTTTGGGTGGAAATTATGATGTGTTGAGCAAAAAGCTTTTTGGCTGATTAGGTCTGCGATTGTAGTATATAGATTATGTGATACCTGACCGTGGACAATCTTAGGAATAGATAATTACTAGTAGCTGTAATAGATTAAATTTCTGAGTTTGTTAAAATGAGCTAACAAGACAGATTAATAAAGATGGAAGCTTGATATTGATTAACAATGCCCGAAACTTCAACTACAAAAAATAGCTTGATTCTATTACTCTTCACTTAGTAACTTGAGGCTACTTGTCTCACTTACAAAACATCACGAGGAATAGATAATTACTAGTAGCTGTAATAGATTAAATTTCTGAGTTTGTTAAAATGAGCTAACAAGACAGGTTAATAAAGATGGAAGCTTGATATTGATTAACAATGCCCGAAACTTTAACTACAAAAAATAGCTTGATTCTATTACTCTCCACTTAGTAACTTGAGGCTACTTGTCTCACTTACAAAACATCACGAATCGCATGCATTCTACTGCCATGTCACTTCCTAGTTATAATTAAGGACTACTACAAGTTAACCTAATATTAATTGTGTTGGTCACTACTCAATCAGAGTATTATGTCTGCAGAATTCTTGTTGCTCCCTCCCTTAGTGTTTCATTGATTAGTTTTGTCCACATCTGTCCCCCCCCCCTCCCTGCTGCTTGTCTCTTCCCCCTTTGTCTTGTGTGTCAAGTTGTTTCCTCCTTCGAGTGTAAACCCGAATCGGTAGCTCGGGAGTGCATACTGAGTCCATTTTAGTAGTTTCTTACTGTTTGCCTTCAACATGATGGCAGATGTGTTGTGATACAATGGATTTTACGGATAATACTGCTGTTGAAGTGCTTAGCTTAAGCTTTTGTTAGACATATTAGATTTACAATTGCAGCATATGAGTTTTATGATACCTGAGTTGGTAGAATATTCTCAGAAAAGCTAGTTTAGTTTGTAACATATTGAATTAGTGATGTAACTTTTTATACAGATTGGAAATTAAAAACTTATTGTGTTGTCTGATACGATTGGTTTTATGTCACTGGTGTTGATTATCATACTATAGCGTTATTAGTTGGGTAATTTACCTTTTTTAAAAGGTCAAAATTATAACATCACTGTTGTGGATCATATCTAGACAATATTCATTTTTATGATGTGGCTACAGGTTCCTGCATCTGTACGTGTTAGAAGAGAGTCTGCTCTTCCAAAGCCAAAACCAAAAGCAATGATAAACGCACCTATCTCTCAACAGCCCATGACTTCTGCTCCAAAACCAGAATCAGTAACAACCACATCAGCACCAAAAGCACCAAGCATTGACGATTCATATAATGCTTTCTTGGAGGACATGAAAGCCCTTGGCGCTCTTGATAGTTGACGTGAATATTATTGCAAGGGATTCTTATTGTCTTAATCTACAGGCTCGTTGTTTATTTGGGTAATTCTCTGGTTAGCTGTATTTAAAAGCTTCTGTAACAATCTATTGTAGCTGAGAGTTGTGGTACTAAATTTTGTTTACAGATCCCTGCCAATAGAGAGAACTAAAAGTCTAAAATGGAATAATTTCTCATTTAATGACAAAATTCTTCTGATTCTAGTTCTCTTACATTTAGTGCAGTTTTGTAGTTGGATTGATGTTTTTCTCAGTCAACTTATATTTAGGTCTCTGTTATGCTTACATGATATTTATTTCAGTTATGCTATGTTTGGATAACAAATTAGAAGGGAAATGGAAGGGAGGGAAATAGGAGGAAGGGGAAGGAAGGGAAAGTGGAGGTAATGATAAGCTCCATTTTCTCTCCAAATCTCTCCAATTTAGAAGGGTTAATCTTTATTAAAGGAGGAGGGAAAATGGATCCCTCCCCTTCCCTCCCCCAACATATTATCCAAACAAAGAAGTTTGTCTCCCTCGGTCCCTCCCTTTCCTTCCATTTTTTATTATCCAAACATAGCCTTAAACTCTTATCGAGGGAGACCTCGTTTGTCTACATGATGCTTGTTATAGTTACTTATTAAAGTATTACGTAGTATTTTTAATTACAACCTTTGTTTACCAGTGTACCATATTTTTTTTAAGGCTATATGCGGGCTAGGCACTTTATGAGTGGGGGAAGGGTAAGGGAAACCTTACCTCAAAGTGCCTCTAGTGGGATATATTTATTTATTTATTATTATTATTTTTAAAGTAAGAAGAAAGACTTTTCTGAGGCGGCACCTCTCACAGGTTTAGCTAGCACATTGACGTAAGTCATCACTTGAGAGTAGAGGGGGGAGGGGGAGGGGGTTGAGGGAATTCCCCTACTCCCAAGCATTTTGTAGTTGGTGGGGCTCGAACTCGTGACTTCAAAGTCACAAGTTGAGTTCCCCACCTCTAATGAGATTTATTGGTATAAGCCAATATGAATTTTTTTTTTTTTTTTGACAAATTGTATGATAAATTAGCATATTCCGTAAAGTATATATCATGAAATTAGTAATGTTTTTCTTTTTTCTTTTTTAAGAAGCCTGCGGGCTTGGATCAGCCCATGGGCTAGGATTGTGCTTGGGCTGGGCCTATGCAACCCTAAAACCCATAGGTTAGGCTCACGCCCTAGCCCAGCCTAAAACCATTTTATACTATACCCAAAATCTCAAGGTCGAGTATTATTTATTTAAAATTAGAGCTTAAGATACTATGTTTTGTAATGTCTTTAAAATTAACCTTTAACTTTTCTATTAAAGCTGCATCATCTTTGATAAATGTAGTTTTGACAACTTTGATTAAACTTGTTTTATGGAATATAATGTACTTCTGAAGTTTGAACTTGGTTTGAATTTAAAATCTATGATTTTGGCATTGCTATGATTTTATGCTTACCTTTTGTCCAAAATGACTAAGGCCATAAGTGAGTTTTCAATATTGTTTACAAGTATTAAACTTAGTCAATTGCTAACTATATTAGGGAGACTAGTTTACATCTCTGTACCGATCCCTAATTCCCTAATTATCATTGTTATCAATTGTCAATTTCACAATGAACACGGCTTGGTAATGGACAAAGAAAGCGACTTAAGCTTGTTTCCCTCTTTGATTTTGAACGAGGAGAGCAAATTATTGCCCTATTTGAGTTGTTTTTACCGGGTGAAAAAAAAAAATTATCCTGCTTGATTAGGGTGTGTTTTATTCACCTGATTTTTATTTATTTGAACTTATTTTATCTTTTCTTATATGAATTTATTATATCTTATTAAAACTTATTTTAGTTGTAATTTGTACTTGAGTAACCCTTATTAGAACTTATTTTTCTTAAATTGAATTTATCAAACCTTATTACACTTAAAATAAGAGAAAATAACGTGAATGAAATAGATCCTCAATCAAATAGGCGAAAACTTTTGTCCACTTTGATCTCATTCAAAGAGGCAAAACAAATCTCAATTAACCCTTCGAATACAACGATGCTAAGAAGGCAATTGTGAGAAAATGGTTTCAATAAATAGTATCCAAATATCGAATTTTCATAATCTTCATATGTACTTCCTCTGTTTTTTTTTTTTTTTTTTTTTTTGTTTTTAGTTGCAATACGCCAACACTTCTCTTTTCATGCTTCCCGATGCATGTTTTGGATCGTTAATATCTTTGATTACCAATATGTAACATTATAAATTTTAGATATAAAAATTGCACAAATCGAGACAAATCTAACAAGATCCCACATGACTATATTTTTACTTATGTATAAATCGTCAAAGCTAGTCAAAGTGAAACACATAAATAGTTTAAAACTCAAACTGTTGCAACTAAAAAAAAAATATTAAAGATATCACATGCATTAGAGATAGTAAAAGATGCAGGTGAGTTATGAACAAAAAGGGGCGAATGTAGTATAATTTTAAAATATTAAGTAATAAAAAAATATTGTATTAATAATTAAATTTATGTACTCCCTCTATAATAGAAAGTGGACATTAATAAAGAGACGAAAAGAGAAAGTGAACATTAATAAAGAGACAAAAAAATTATTAACAACCATAAATAAGAAACATGTCAACTAAAAACAAACACAAAAAAATACTTCCTCCGTTTTTTTATTATTGCACCATAGAGGTTGGATACAAATATTTTGGTAGTGGAAAAAAGTAAGAGAGAGAAAGGTAAAAATGCAAAATTGTCTATGTGACATATTGATAAATTAAAAAGTAAGTGTAAAAAAACAAGAGTATGTTGGATATTTGTAGTGTGAACACAAATAATTTTTTTCCTAAAGAGAAAATTATGCAATATTTGTGAAACTTCCTACAAGGCTGTGATGCAATAATATGCAATAATAAAATAACGGAGGAAGTAGTAGTAATCCCTAACTCCCCAATTAATATAGACATACCTAGACCTAGTAAACATACCCCACTACCAAAGAAAATAAATGACCAAGACTAAAAACTATTTGTACTTTGACTATCTTGTCAAAATTTAAAAATAACTAAAAATAATGACTAGACAAAAACCCACAACATTGGTCATTGGGTCACAAATCAAGGAAAAAACATCTTTTTTCTTCCCTAGTTTTGCCATGTCACCTTCTTTGAGGAGTAAAATTAGGATTCTTGCAAAAAACCAAAACTCTACAATTAATCAATCAACTTAACCCTCCTTAATTATGTTTCTAAGAATATTAGTACATGTGTATAGTACTACTTCCATCAGAAAAAGTGTGATATTAAATGTGAAAAAAAAAGGCAGTAAAAGCAACGGTAACAAAGAGATTTGGCAGTTCCTTAAAGGGTAATCTGGGAATTTTTCAAAAGCTAACGGAAACCTTTCACATTTGGAAAAGTGGGCGGCACTTGCTCCTCTTTGTGCTTGTATATAATGCTTTACTATTTGCAAATTTGTTTACTCTCTCTTTTTTTTTTTCTTTCATTAATTGAGTGTGTCATTTTCTTTTGACTTTCTTTGTAACTCTCATTCTTCTCCTTCCTCCATTTCATGTAACTATCTCTATTTGTATTCCTTTCTACTTGAACTTTTGCGTTTAGAGCCGATTTTGACAATTTAGAGGCTAAACGATAGTATTTCTTACTACAAGAGGAGTGTCATTTTTCTTCCAAATTGAAATTTTAGGAAAAACTTCTTTGTCAAAAAAAAAAAAAAGTTGAAAAATGGAGCCTTTAAAACCTGAGGAGATAAGTCACCCACCAATGGATCAACTGCAAGGTTTAGAGTATTGTATTGATTCCAATCCTTCTTGGGGTAATTTTTCTAAAAAATTCTAACTTTATTTTTATTTATGTAACCAAACATATAATGCCCATCATTTCAATGATTTTAATAAACATGAAGTTTTAATTAATTAGACAATTAATAAGTAAAATTAATTTGATTGGTTTGAAACAGGGGAAGCTGTTGCTTTGGGTTTCCAGCATTACATCTTATCGTTAGGAACTGCTGTTATGATTCCTACATTTCTTGTTCCTTTGATGGGAGGTTCTGATGTAAGTTTTATCTTTTTTTTTATTTATACCTTGTTAATTAATTATCTTGGGGTTTTGTTAAAAATTCTTGAAATCATTTTTTTTAAAAGAAAAACTCTTGAAATCATTTACAAATAAAAAAAAAATTCTTAAATGAAGTTAATGTGAGTGTTAAATATGAATGTAATTTGTGGCACATAGTAAAATTAATAATAACTTTAACAAAGTTGAAGTATGTTTTAAGTTGTAAATGCTTGGGTGACAGGAATGTTTGCTAATTAGTAATTACCATGAAAATTTTAATAAGGGTAATTCCTTTTTTAGTACTCTCGTATTAAGTTGTGAATTTATCAGCAATTCACGAGTAAATCGCTGTAATAAATATTTATTTATAGTCAATTATTTATTGGGGTTTATGTTACATTTTTATAAAAAAAAAACACATGATCAATTTAATTTTTTACATGTAATAATAAATAAAAACAAAATTAAATATAATTAATTAAGAAAATAATTTTTTTTTCCAAGTACAAATTGACGAGCAATTGCTTTGTTTTTGTTAGCGGAATTTGTGCATGTTGGTTATTGTTGTTGTGTGAACACATGGGTGCTAATACATAAGACATGGTTTTTATATCTTTACAAACTTTATAATGTAGGGTGACAAAGCAAGAGTAGTCCAAACACTACTATTTGTTCAAGGAATCAATACTCTACTACAAACCCTATTCGGAACCCGGCTACCGACGGTGATCGGAGCGTCGTACGCTTACATGGTCCCGATCATCTCCATCATCCATGACTCCGCCTTTACAAGGATTGAAGATCCACACATGGTTAGTTTTTGTGTCATCTTTTGAAGATCTTTCAATCTTTTTATCTCTTACACTATTGTATAGTGTAACATAATCTTTTAAGTACTAGTTGAGGGCCCTTTTGTAATAACATAAATAAAAGAAAGTAATAAAAGTAGATTTAGACCCACCTATGTAATTGGCTTTTAGTAAAGGAACCAACTTTAAGTTCATGAAAGTAAAGTAAGTAGTGTATCAATATACAATATACTTGCTTGTCTATGAATATGCACATAAGATTCCATTTTTTTTATACCTTAAAAATTATGTGATACTTATCTTCAAAATGTCACTTTTGGAAAAGGTTAGTCCAATAGGCTATGGTATGGTCATCACAAGCCTAGAAAGCAACAAAATGATGCCCATTTACACTTTTACTATATGATATGATGTGCACATATTGTTGGAATTCCACTATATATTTATTTTTTACTATGCTAGTACAAAAATAATTACAGTATATACTTGATGTTAATGTGTTTGTATTTGATTGCAGAGGTTTAATAGTACTATGAGGGCAGTCCAAGGAGCTCTAATTGTGGCTTCAAGTTTGCAAATAATCCTCGGATATAGCCAGTTATGGGCTATTTGTTCAAGGTTAATTTTTTTTCTTTTATGTGTTACTCCGTAGTAAGTATAGTATACTCTAGACTGTTAGCGCCCATAAGACCATGAGGCCCCGGCAATTGAAGCAATGTGACATAGGGGGGTCGAGTAGTGATAAATCAATCTCCAAGATTACCGTAAGCCTGATGCCCTAATCTAGCCTGTTTACACTACGCGGTTGCACCCATAGGGCCCGGGCATTGAAATAATGTGACATAGGGGCCGATAGATCAATCTCCAAGATTACCGCAAGCCTGATGCCCTAATCTAGCCTGTTCACGCGGTTGCACCCATAGGCCCCGGCATTGAAATAATGTGACATAGGGGCCAATAATTCAATCTCCAAGTTTGTCCTATCTCAATGTTTGTAGAAAATGTCAACATGAAATACTACCTAGATACTTCGTCTTATTTCCTCTATCTCTTTCCGTTTACAATTACTTGCTTAGCTTGCTCTTTTTAACGGTGCATACTTTAGTATCCAAGAGCCATTGTGGATTCTTTGGACTTTTGAAGTCGACTTGATATCTAATACTACCTTCGTTACATATTATTTGCAACGATTTGACATAAAGTAGAGAGGAAAAATGTCTAATCGTTGCACATAATATGTAATGGAGATAGTAGAAAAATGTTTTACATAGCCCTTAGGTTTACATATAAACATTAAATGCACTAAAAATATACACTTATTACACTAATTTACGCGTGTTTTTATCGTGAATATTAATTTAATACAATTTTCAAGAGTGTAATGCTTATATGGAGTATAGGGGCTACATGTAATATTACCCTTAATAATACTCTGTAAACTTAAATGTGAAATGGAACAAATAAATTAAAATGTAATTATGTAATTAACAAAGATTAGTTTATGGAATGACAGGTTTTTTAGCCCATTGGGAATGGTTCCAGTTATATCACTGGTGGGTTTTGGTCTGCTTGATAGGGGATTTCCTGTGGTAAGTACAATCAGTCTTTAATCATGGTTTAATTTTTAAGTTTAAACTAACCTCATTTCAAGATTAGTTACTGGTCTGCTTTGTAACTAAATATTTCATTTATTTTCCTGCAATATTAATTTACTCTTCTTGTTCAACTTAAAATAAATAGGCACATTTTTCTAAAATTTTAATATGGTTGCATAATTTTCAGGTAGGACGATGTGTTGAAATTGGCATTCCCATGCTTATTTTGTTTGTTGTCTTCTCTCAGGTATTTTGTCAATATTATTGCAACCTTTGTATGATTAGGAGGATAGTACTATCTTTTTGTTCAAAGTTTGAATTTTTTTAGTTACTTATAGTTTTTAGTGGACATTATTGGGGCTAATTGGTTTTTAGTGGATTCCACTAAAACATCTAGATAAGCTTGATATGATACACAGATAGTTAAACCAGTGAGAGTATTTGAAAGCATGCAAAATCTTGACTGTTTAGCAATGAGTAACTTGTTTAGATCAAAAGGTGGGACATTATCATGGTCTTAAAAGTTCTTCCTATTTGGACGGTGATTGTCTGACAAAAAGAGTCAAAATAGGGAAAGACTTTTAGCAATCTAATTTCTTTTCCTTTGTGCAGTATCTGAAGCATTTTCAGGTAAGGAGACTGCCAATGCTGGAGCGCTTTGCTCTTGTTCTATCAGTTACTGTTATATGGGCGTATGCACACCTGTTGACGGCTAGTGGTGCTTACAAACACCGCCCTGCTAAAACTCAAATGAACTGTCGAACTGATAAGGCTAACCTCATCTCTACTGCACCATGGTAAGCTAATGCCAAGAATCTATCTCAGTGATGGAAAACTCCTTACATTGTTGCCATAGCCCGCGCTTTTGGGAAAATGCTCATTCATCCCTTGATTTTTGCTTGTGTAGGATAAAGATCCCATACCCTTTACAATGGGGTGCACCTTCTTTTGATCCTGGTCATGCATTTGGAATGATGGCTGCTGTACTAGTCTCACTTATTGAGGTAGCATACAAAGTCATCATAAATTAAGCATTAGTGTACTTCCTATTTACGACTTGGACATGATTATAATGTGTATAATTTCTTCTTTTTCAGTCGACTGGAGCTTTTAAAGCAGCAGCTCGTCTAGCAAGCGCCACTCCCCCACCAGCTCATGTTCTGAGTCGCGGTATAGGCTGGCAGGTTATATATTATGTCTTCCTACACGGTTGGAGGATGCCCTTCTCTTTTTTTTTTTCTTGTGGGTGTGTGTGCTTTTACTGATAGAGATTTTGTTCACAGGGTATTGGGATCTTACTCAGTGGACTCTTCGGAACATTAAGTGGCTCTGCTGTCTCTATGTGAGTTTACATGCATATCCCTGATTTTTCTTTAATGCAAGCTTGCTAACTATATGAACATTATTAATATAAAATGTATTGGATATAGAGAAAATGTAGGCTTGATTGGAAGCACTCGTGTCGGAAGTCGTAGAGTTATACAGATTTCTGCCGGTTTCATGATCTTTTTCTCAATCTTAGGTAAGGCCTAAACTACCTTCTTATATATCTCCTATAAAAGACATCATAAATCTGTCAATAGATTCTCAGTTTTTCTGATTTGATACCTGCAGGAAAATTTGGGGCTCTTTTTGCTTCAATACCTTTCACTATATTTGCTGCAATGTACTGTGTTTTCTTTGGCCTAGTTGGTAAGTCACACAATCATTTTGGATTTGTGTAGTGGAAGTAGATAACAGAGATTCATAAACTAATTTGCTTGGTTTTGTTGTTGGTTGATGAATTTCCAGGTTCCGTCGGGCTATCATTCTTGCAGTTCACAAATATGAACTCAATGAGAAATCTTTTCATTGTTGGTGTATCTATGTTTCTTGGTCTGTCTATTCCTAATTATTTTAGAGAATACTCGGCCAGCGCTCTACATGGACCTTCTCACACCAGGGCTGGATGGGTAAGAACATTACTCCTACTTAAACCTCTACCTCCTGCTAAGTTTTCTTCCCCAGCAAAAAAATAACTCTTAACTTTGGTGGTTGTAATTTGCAGTTCAATGACTTCCTCAATACTATCTTCTCCTCTTCTCCGGCAGTGGCACTGATTATCTCAGTTCTCCTAGACAACACCCTTGAATACAAGGATAGTGCTAGAGACAGAGGAATGCCATGGTGGGTCAAATTCCGGACATTCAAAGGAGACAGTCGAAACGAGGAGTTCTACACCCTTCCCTTTAACCTCAACCGTTTTTTCCCTCCATCATAAAGCGTGGTTGAGCCTTAAAGAGAGGGGACAGAGGAGTAGTTTTAAAACCCTTAAACCAGTTTTCCGCTCCATCATAAACCCCTAGACGTAGTTTAGTTATTATTGATAGCATTGTGATTATTATCACAATCCTGGTGACGATGGAGAAATGTTATTAACATAGAGTAAATCAAGTTTTGCTCTTTGGCCCCTTACGGCCTTCCCCGGCAATTGATTTATGTATATTTCAACTCGGTATTTCGGGTTCAATTCTCAATAATAGAAATTATTTATTTGTTCTTTTTAACCAAAGTCCACACTTCAGCAGTATCTTCTGACGTTTCTGACTACTGATGACAAACAGCACTGATATCTGTTGTGGTTTATGACAAACAGCAGTGAGACATACTATATATAGTCAAAGACCTAAGTATCATTTTCACACCAAGAAGTAACTCTTGATTCTTGAAGTTATGTCCAGACGAGAATAAGGAGGATTACCTTGAACTTTATATTCATTTACCCAAAAAAAATAAAGTGTATTTATATCAATGATCTAGTATAAAATGTTGGGGGGAAAATAAAAATCAAAACTGCCCCCTCCCCCTCTGACCACCGAAAATAAAAGGAAAGTGTGGAAGAGATTTTGCTTATCTTGGCTTATTCATCAGGTTGAATGGTTGATTTATTCACAGCAAAAATCAGGTGAAAATCTAGTGACTAGTGAGCCTTGCACATGCATTCGGGGCTCCTAGGTTGCCGATATATGCTTTGTCCAAATCGTCTCACGTGAACCCTTTGACCTTCTTCCATCATTTTTGTTACCCTATACTGAAAACTGTTCCATGCTATGGTGTCATTATCCAACAATATTGCTGATAGCCTCTTCTTGTTTGGCCGCAAGGTAGGAGCATGACCACCTCCAAAATAAGTGCGAAACCCAGATACTAATGATGATAGTTGGCTTCCCGAGTCAGTCATGGCAAAAACATCAGCCGTTGCACATGCAATGAAGTCCAGTGCAGCAAGCTGCGGGAGATGATTAGAAAACATTAGAATCATATTGCTCAGGCTATATACAAGCCTATAGGCCAAAATGGTCAAGATGATTAGAAAACATTAGAATCATATTCACTAAACCCTTTTTCTAAAGGAATTAACATAGTACACATAACCCACATATCTGTAGCAGACGTGGCCTAATACAAATTTTAGCAAAACAAGTCTCGTCTTCAATACCCCAAGTGTAAACATAGTTCAATACACCATGGCGGTGCAGTACATCGATACCTCATACTTCAATACACCATAACCACGGTTTTCCTATGAGCATAAACAAGACTCAATGCAGATGGAAATATTATCATTGGAACTGCCCGGGGAGGGGGGGGGGAGTTCTTCACTCAGGTATGCTAGCTTGTGGTGCTCATTTATAATAAATTCAGCTAATTGGGAACAAATAATCAGTTTGTGCCAATGGGAATGAAAAAACAGAACTAGCATTTGGCGGATGGAGGTTTATAAAACAAAAACAGTGCTTTGTTTTGGTGCATTTTGTGTGCGGTATTAGAAATGGGAATGAAACTGAACAATGTGAGTACCATATAGATTCAGTATGTAACTAGTTATTTATAAAGTATTGGGGATTCGAGCACAAAAAAATAATTACTCCAGTATATCAAACAAAGCTGTGTCTATAAAAACATATAATGATATATAGGACTAAAGTAAGCCTCGGATGAGTATCACTAAAACTCAGCATTGCCTTTGAACACAAAAGGTGTATGTTTTCAGAGCTTCCATTGTAAAGCTACACGATAACTTTGCCAATTTTCCAATCATACACTTCTTTCATTCTATAATTACTTGGAAATCCATTATCAGAACAAGAGCTTTGCATATGCCTTTGAGTACAACTACAACAACAACAAAGCCTTAGTCCCAAAATGATTAGGGGTCGGCTAATATGCCATTGAGTAATATATTTTAATATTAGGTAAGCTTCAGTTCCTTTCAGGCCCATTATACTGTACGTTTGTTTGTGTGTGTGTTTTGGGTAGCTTCTCAATTTGAAAGCATAACCACAATAACAATGCTAGCTGACATCATTGTGAAAAGGCAGTTCTTTTATTTGGTTTCCATTCCTTTAAAATATGTCAATAAATGCAGACATATTAAAATTACTATAAGATGAATGAAAGTATGATGGCTATTATAAAACCATGTAAAGTGTACAGATTAAAGAGCACTAGAAAGAGTTTGATGGTATCATTTTTCCAACGTGTTGCACCTTCTTTCAGAAAGCCTATAGGCCAAGGTATTAAATAGATAAGTGTGCTTTAGCTGGATGTAATTTTGAAATGAGTGACTTCTTGGGAAGTTGCTTGAACTATGCATTGATTCAGAATGATTATATGCATTGATTCAGAATGATCAAATTGGACAAATTGGTTTGTATAGGCATTTGCAGTGGTTAATTTTGGGATCTTAAATGGGGGCAAATGTGTTAATTTTGGGAGCTCTGACCTGTGCCAAAAGTAAAAGATAGCCTGGGTTCTGGATTTGTAAATAACATTTTGGAACTGAAATTTATAACTGAGTAAACATCCATATATATGTGGCGTGACCTACTTTCAGATTTATAAAATAAAAAAATTTAAAAAAAAAATAAAAGAAGATGTTTTACGTATAGGTATCACTGAACCAGCTTACCTGAGAAGAGAAATTCCTAAAAGGCTCAAGTTCACTGGGAGCCAGAAGATCTTCCTTGGTTACCAAATTTGGATAAAGGCTGCTGAAAGGCTTCATCCTTGACTTTCCATCATAAATTTGAGATCCAGCAAGATAAATGTATGTAGGGCGCTCGAAACCAAGACCAGCAAGAAGAATTCCTGCTTCCTCTGGTGTCAAGGGACATCTTCCAGAGATTCTCAATTCTTCAGGAGACACGGGCCTGTACACAGCATCAAGATACAGAACTATATCAAATTAAATGAGGCAAGTAGTAGACAACTGGCTTAGAATAAACGATCCAACATCTGACAGAATGAGATTGCTAACATACTTTAACCCCTTAAGTCGTTGAAGGAGCAATGGGAAATGAGTTTCTCTGTAAGCTTGGAGTTCTTTTCTCTCAATTTCTCCACCACCAAATTCACAAAAGGAATAAGCCACCATATCCACTTCAAACCTCAGATGTAGAGCAAGATACTTGGAAGGACCTTTACTCATATTATCCCTTCTTGAGTCATTGTCAGGCATAAAGTTTCCAAGAAGCTCCTTGTCTATCCGATTTCTTGATGAGTCATATTCCCTAATCCTTCTTACTAATAACGATCCAACTTGTTGGATTTTGGGCACAAACTTCAAAGCATGAAAATTGCATTTACACCTCAATTTCTGGAATAAAGATAATAAATCAGTATGTAAGGAACTTCAAACATTTGATGAACTAATAAAAGTAACATACTGAGAACTAATGATCAGGGATCCAAACTGTAAAAAAGATTCAGTTTTCATTTTCCAGAAAATTTCCAGCAGCTTATTAAAATTACATTATATCACATTTCAGAACCTCGACAGCAAAGAAAAGCAGGTTCTTTCACAAACGAAGCAAGACATAAACTCTAATTAAAAGAGCACTTAGTCTTAAGGATGAAATCTTGATTATTTTCCACAGGATGCAAGAAAAGTAGTTTAAATTCAAACTAACCAAAAGGAGACATGAACATAATGCTAGACGATCATGGTTTTGTTACATATGTAACATATTTACAATGTTGAAAAAAAAACATATATAAAAAACTTTGAAATAATGTTATTAACCTGAAGGTGAGGAGGCAGTGGATCAAACCCAAAACGGTTTCCAAAGCCAAGTAAATGCACAACACCATTTTGCAGGAGGATTGGAAGTACAAGTCTCATATAATCAGTTGGTGTTGCCTCCTTATCAAGATCTGCATCAGTAACCTAAAAAGTAAAGTAACTTGAGAAAGTATCCACACATTTGTAGTCCAATTCAAGAGATTGAAGATTGCAAAAAGGCAACAAATAAAAACAACTTACTACACTACCAATTGCTTCAAGGTCTATTGATCTCAACTGTTGAGGGAGTTCCTTGGTAATGGATATGTCATCCTTCAATGAGTTTATGAAATGCTCTTCTTGATAAATATCACCAAACTGGCTGTCAATTTGTATTATTTCATAGCACAAATTAGCAACAAGTATTACATAACTCAAAACACACATAGATTTGATCTAAAAGATTCTTGTGTAATGGTAATTAAAACTTCCATCACTGAAAACAAAGCCTATAAAAACACGGGTAAACTTGACTAGCTTGATGATCTTTTGTCTTAGAATGGTGAATTGCAATACACAACTGTCAGTAATGATCCCACTGTATAGAGGTGTTTATAAAGATCATGAAGTAAGTCTAAATGTTAATCACTATAGATTATCAGAAAGGATAATATCCTTTTATCTAAATGTTGCCAGTTGCCACCTCCCGGGTAAGTGTTTTGGTGTAAATTTGACAGAACAAGTTGGGAAAAGAGGAAAAATATTATAATAAGGTGACAAAGTAAAACCAGGGAATTCGTGTAAATTTTCTTTTGAACATTTTAGAAGATGCCAATGTCTAATTTTTAAATCCATCATCAATACAGAAGAAAATAAGTAAAATAGTCTGTTTTCTTCCACTATTTACTTTTTTTTCGGGGTGGAGGGAGGGGGAGAGGGGAAGGGAAGGGGTTGCATAAGGAAGCAGAGAGTAGAAAGAATTAATAGCTTAATGCTATAAAAATATGTAGCAGCAAGACGGAATCGCACCTTGGATCCTTCCAAACACTGCTATACAGAAATCTTGGGAGAACTAAACTTGCATTGAGTAGTGATGCAACTGCAACTGCATTGCAGACCTGAAGACACCCAAAATATTCCATCAGGTTTCTGGTTTTTGAAACAAAAAGTTAAACAGCAGACAAGTTCCTTTCTTTTTATAAAGAGGAAATATACACCTTTGCTAATGGTATCCTTATCAAAAAGGTTCCTTTTTAAGGAAACAAGAAATGAACAAAAAACTAAATGAATCTACATTTACTACAACACCCCAGTATGTTGTTGTACCCCAAATCTGACATGACATACAACACCTCAAATACACATGGATACAAATGTATGTTAAAATCTTTAAGGGTTATTACATACTCCGTAATAGAATTACATAAAGATTTTTGTATGTATCCGATACAGTGATACTTCTATTGTGTCTGATATTCTGATGATTTGTTGCCAATTTGATAGCAACTTCATTTAACAAAGGATTATGTTTTAATTAATAATTTTGTTACCAATCTGATAGAAAATGTGTTCATGTAAGAAACAAGTTTTCCCAGCCTTGCACAACAACAATCAGGTCAAGTCATTGTTTAGGTGAGTCTAAATATTGTGCATATAAAACTTAATTATGTACTTAAGCAGCACCTTTTCATTGTATCCAACAACTGAAAAAAATGCAGTACCTGTTTTTTAGAATATAAAAAGAGAGGGCCCGAGAATCAACTAGAGTCCCAAAACTCTTTCATGGCTCATTGTTTAGTGAATAAACTAGTTTTCTTAGGCCCTGTTTAAATCACTTTATATTCACTTATTTCAGAAAAATAAGTCCATATCAGGGTTAAAAAGGGTTACCCAAGTTCAATTTGAAAATAAAATAAGTTCTAATAAGTTCTCGTAAGTTCAGATAATTTCTGATAATTTTTAGATTATAAAATAAAATCATCATGATGCTGAAAGTAACATGACAGACAATATATATCAAATTCGGAACTTAATATCTATGAATTTTCCCAACAAGAATACAAGATCACATCTTATTTTCTTAAAAAAGATCATTCTCTTTCCAATACAAACTTGTATTGGTAATAACTAATAAGTGCTCATCTGCCTCTCTTTGGCTCTTGCATTTTACTACTTTTGTTGTAATTTCAGAGTCTCCAAATGTTTATATTCTTTATAATAATATCAAAATTAAAATATTTAGCAAAGCAATCACTAGACTCTGCTATTCTGAGTACAGTATTGGAAACTTAGAAGTCAGAACAAAGTAACTCACTAATCTGAAAGCCAAAGGGTTAGCAATATAGGCTTCACACAGCACATTAAGGGAGCCAGATACAGATAATGGATAAACTGGAAAAAGATCATGTTGCTTATTGTCATTTTGGCAACGTTTCTAAACAAATACTCAGTCAAGAACTCAAGCCCCTAGCCTCTTGGGAGGTGAAGATATAAGCAGCTTTCCCGATCAGCAAAGGGGGTATCTTTAGAGCAATAAGTACAAGATAGCTGCCAATAATCTTACAGAAAATCAGATAGTTATGTTCTAACAGCCTAAGAAGTAGGATGAAATTTGAAAATAAAGTGAGTTTGAACTTACGGCAACTCGTTGTTGATTGAGACCACCATTTGCACTGACTAATATAAATCCATTGCTATTTTTAGGACTTCCTGTACCTCGAAATTGGAAAGGAAAAGGATCAATTTTGGCTTAATAAATTAGTACACAAAAAAAATTCCGACATCAATTTGCGCAACCCTAATAGATCAAATTCTCAGTTAACACATGCATCCACCTAACTGTATTTATTGCTAAGCTGTCAAAGGAAGTTACTAGATGACCAAGAGGCTTGAAAAGGAAGAATTTCTGTACACTGGGTGCAATTAGTAAGGTAGCATAGAAAAATATAACTACCTTGATCCTCTGGCCTTTGCACGTCTGCACAAGGTTTCCACACTGATGCTCGCGAAGATAATTCTTTCCACGAATTGCTTGGCACACGTCCAAACTCTTGCTACATCATCAATATATGCACTCAATTTATCAGTAATCGAGCACGAGGGCAGAAAAGAAACATATGAGTAAAGGAAGCATCTAGTGTAGATGATGAAGCAAGACCTGTGCAAGACTTGTTGAAGCCAAGTTCAGAAGACGGCCATACATCAAAGGAGAACTTTCTTCCTTGCTAGAATTACCTCGTACATCCTTCTATGAACATATTCAAAATCAATAGGCATCCCTTTAGTTACGTCCCTATGCATTACAAGGAAATTTTCACATACACCAAATGCAAAAAACTACTACGTAATTGACAACATGAGTGGCAAGGGGACAAATACATTGAAGTATGAAGTTAAAAAACCAATAAATGAAGAAAATATTTTATTCCAACAGTAAAATAATTATCCTAAACCCTGGTTTCTGGAGAGAACCACCAGAAAAACAAAGACAAAAGTAAGAAGGTTCACACACTATAGTATAGTGAAGGTCATCTGGTGTTATTGCAGTAGGAAAGAACCATAGACAAGATCCAATTTATAAGACTAGTCCATTTCTCTTTGAAATATTTAATAGAAATAAGGAAGTCAACTAGTGAGATCGACAGAGATCATTGAGCCTCAGACACAGATTAGTTCAGGAATTACCAACATCTAAAACCATCATCTGATTGATATAGTAATTATTGATGCCTCAAAGTCAGCAGCTATCGACTCAACTATTACAAGTGATCAATCATCACATAGCCTAATGTAGAAATTTATAGGGTCAGAAGAGAGTCATCACATAAGTAAACCCTCACTTTTGACTTTGGCCAACTTCTATGGACCACCATATGTAATAAATGATTAGCACAAAACAGCGTTATAAGCTATCTTTTGACTAAAAGCGGCTAGCGTAGTTACTGCTGCTAAGAAAGACCAAGTAAGAGTTTGTTTTACAGCAAAGAAAACATCCGGATCAAAATAGTTCATTGAGCTTACCACAAGCTGAGAAGATCACCTACTGCTAAAATATCAACTCCAGTATTTCTATTTTATTCAAAAATACTTATAGCTTACCTATACAATGAATCGGAGACCACTGTTTAAATAAAAGTACCATTGTGGTAACATTAACAAAAGAGAATCCTTGGCACTGAACCATGCTCTACTTGTACATCCTTCCTAAAACTTGCTAACTTGTGGGAGGAAAAAAAAAAAAAAAACTAGACACCAACCCACACCAAGATTACTACACTCAACGTTCGCACTTCGCAGTATAGAAGATGACTAGGAAAGGTTAGCATCTAGAAATTTCATTTTGGTACTTCTGTAGTTGTTTCGAGAATATATTCTTTAAGGATCTAGCAGGTGATTTACAGGGAGAAGCATAAAACCGCCATAGATTACCTCTAAGATACAGATTCCAATCTCCTATTAGTAGGCTTCTACTTAATAATCTGGTCTATTTTCTAGCTAACTTATGAAAAGAAGTTTATCCATGCCTCCTAACTAATAAGTTCTATTCCACTCATAAATTAAGGTTGTAATTTCTATATAAAAAATAATAATTAAAAAAGAAAATCCAATCAGAAACTAGAACTGTGGAGCGTATAAACAAAGTCAGAATCGCGGAATGGAAGATTAAGGCCCAAATCTAAACTCCGAATTTCCGATAAATCTGTTACAAATTTCTCAACACTATCGAGCATTAAAATATATATCTATCGATTAAAGATAAAAATAACAAAGTTTGGTACCTTTGACGTGTTCATTTCTAAGACAGAACTTTTACGAAAATTTGCAGAATTGAAGTCCACAAACATAAGGGAATCCAACCAAAAGAACAAACCCATCAACCCAATAGCAAAACCAAACCACCTTAATTGCCTGTGAAACCAATTATGCCTTTTCCCGCCATATACTCCTTTACAATTTGATTGCTTTGCTGCCATACTATTATTACCATATACACCACCAAAGAGAAAATTCTTGCACCAATGATAATCTGATCCTAACACCCTTCTACCTGAAAAATGATCATTATTGGCCAGACCCTCGGAACACCTCGCTGGACACTCTCTCATCCCAAACAAGAAATCAACATTAGCCGGATGAGGATGTGGACTCTTAGGTGATCCAAGCTTCCCCATTACACTTACAATCTCTCCCTAAAAAATCCGACAATCTAAAATTCTCGCTTGTTCTTCCCCAAGAAATATTAATAGCACAACAATTTTCCCTCCTTTTCAAGTGGGCATTTCTATTTTCACACGCCTACAAACTTCATATACCAATTCAACAAAAAAGACTTTTCACTTAAATTTTTATTTACAAACTTTGAATTTTAATATCAAGAAAGTGTCAAATTAGCTGAAACAATAACATCAAACTGACCTAAGCAAAAAATTCAAAGTGAAGCTACAAATATTCATTAGGTAGATAGACAACGATATGTGAGTGAAATTCAAGCAACAAATCGTGAAATAATTAAATAAAACCTAATTGATTCGATTGCGATAAACATGAATTCATAAATTAATTAAGAAGTGCGACTCACCAAATTCCAAATGTAGGTGGTTAGTTGGGTGGCTTTGACCGTCCAAATTGATAGTAATCGGGAAGATGAAGGCGACGAGAGAGAGTAAAATAGAAGAAGCAAACCCTAAATTCCGTCATTTTCCCCCAATTTGATTTGAGATGAGAAATTAGGGTTAGAAATTGAACTGATATCAAAGGAAAAAGATGAAGAAGAAATTAACTGAGATTTTTTAAAAAAATAAATTTTAATTGTTTTTTTAATTGGAGCGTACCAAAAAAATTGGAGCAGTTGGCGGGAACAAAGAACAACGGCAACAACTTCTTTTGATATGGTTGTTTGTGTTAATTCTTGTTGAACTCCAAGCTTGCATTTTTTTTTTTTTTTGGTTTTTTTTTTGGTATTATTTTCAAAATTGATTTCTGATTTTTCTGAAAAATGTTTAGCAATGGTTTTTTGGAAATCAACAAACAAAAAAAATGTGTTGTAAAAGGTTGACGATTTTTAAGGTTATTGTCTATTTTTACTCCTTTGAGTCCTTTCTAAATTTTTTTTTACAAAGTATGAAATATATGTGCTACACAAGTGATATTATGGAGTATACTTTTAAAAAAAAATTACTTTAATTATTTATATTATTTTACTATAGTTCGGTTCTATGCAGTTCAACTTTGAAATAAAATATTTAGTAAAAAAATTAAATTCAATACAAATAAGTTCAATTCGGTAAAATTAATTTATGTACAGTAAAAATCAATAACTCTAAAGAAAAATTAAATAGAAAATCAAAAAAATAATATCAGTTCAGTACATTAATTTTAGTAGTTTAATAAAAATTAATTTAAATTCAGCAAAAATAATTTCAATTCAAAAAAAAAAAAAAAAAAAAAAAAAAAAAAAAAAAAAAAAAAAACTGGCAACAATCCTGAAACAGTTTAACATGGGATACAAAAAAATAAAAAGAAAAAAAAACTACCTAAAACAAATTATTATTTTTCTCATATAAAATCAAAATGTCAAATTAAACAAAAAAAAAATGTGTTTACAATTACATCAAATTTTGGGTGACTCAATTTCTCTTCTATCAAATACATACTTTAGTTCGTATGACTTATAAGGTAAATTTACACCCATTGTCTCTATATATCTGAAAAATAACAACACAAATCTAAAATCATTTCAATTTCTTATTTAATGAAATGCTTAATGATGATTATTTTTATTCAAGTTTCTATCTACATGGAATTTATGTTGGTCGTTTATCACCGTGCACACAATGTGTGCGCTTCCGAGCTTGTTAAGGTAAAGTAAATAGGGCTTTAGGGTACATCTATTTTATATATTATCTTTTTTAAAAGGTATGAAAAATAAACACTATGAAGCCCTCCTTGCTAAGATAATTCCTAATGTATTTGTTAGTTAGGGTGTCTCAAATTGTAAAGCAAAAAAACTCTAAGAAGAACAATATGGCAATCAATATTCTAACTTTATTTTGCAATTTCTTACTTGAGTGAAATTAGGGCATGTTCTCATTGATTGAACTGAACTGAACTGAACTGAACTGACCTGAATTGAACTGAAATAAATATTTTATAAGAGAAGGAAATTAGGAGCTGAGCTGAACTGAGCTGAACTGAACTGAACTGAACTTCAACGTATGAGAACAGGCCCTAAGCAAGCAAGTTACATTATTTTTTATGTAAAAAGAAGTGTCTTTTGATCCAAACCCTAGATGATTTAACCACTCAAATAATGCAGCTTAGTAAGGATGGCGCCTTGAAGAGTAAGAGAATAATAATGAGTGAAAATTACCAAAATCTTCACTCCAAATTGCCCTAGTAGATTAGAATAAGGCAAACAAGCTAAAGCCCTGTTCTTTTGAGCTTCTGGGCAGAGTAGAGCAGATTTCAACACAGCAGAGCAGAGTCGAGCCGAGCATAGCAGAGCAGATTTCATTATTATTATTATTACTATTATTATTATTATTATTACTATTATTATTATTACTACTACTACTACTATTATTATTATTAGTATTTATTTATTTATTCATTATTATTATTATTAAATATTAATTATTATTAAATATTAATTATTATTATTATTATTAGTAGTAGTAGTAGTTACTAATATTATCGCATTATTATTATAATCATTAAATTTTTAAAATTAAATATTAATTATTATTATTATTTTAATTATTATTATTAAATATTATTTAATTATTATTATTATTAAAAATTAATAAGTAGTATTATCTTTAAATATTAGTTATTATCTCAATATTAATTTTTATTATAAAAATCAATTATTGTTATTATAATTAATATTATTAGTTATAAGTATTATTATTACTATTAGTATAAGTACTATTATTATTACTATTATTATTAATAATTATTATTAATAATTTATTATTATTATTAAATATTAATAATATATTATTATTATTAAATATTAATAATTAATTATTATTTTTTTTATTAAATATCAATAATTAATTATTGTTATTATTATTAAGTATTAAGTATCATTATTATTAAATATTAATTATTTATTATTAAATATTAATTATTTATTATTAAATATTAATTATTTATTATTATTCTTATTAAATATTAATTATTATTATTAAATATTAATTATTATTTATTATTAAATATTATTTATTATTTATTATTAAATATTAATTATTATTATAATAATTTAATATTAAGTATTAATTTTAAGTAGAGCAGAGCAGAGCAGAGCAAAGCAGGGCAAAGCAAAGCAGATTAAAGCAGAGCAGAGCAAAGCAGATTTCAGCAGAGCAGAGCAGAGCAGAGCAAAGCAGCTCTAAAGAACAGGGCCTAAGATAGTTAATGTGTTTTAGTTATTGGCACTACAAAGATAAAATTGTTGTGTGCTTCTTTTATACTCTCTTTGTTTATCTAATACTGTCACAATTATCAATTTTAAGGAAATTTCATAAATATTCTAGTATAGCTTCTATTATTGTAGTTAACAAGTGACCAGACCAATTTGTCCACTTTTGTTTCTCTCTCTTCATTATTCCCCTTCTTTAGTTTACATGCCCAACAACGAATCTGCTTGTTGCAATATTAGGAGAATGAAGGAAGGTTTTTTTAATCGAGATAAAGACGGGTAACTTTACATACAATAATAATTTCAGGAAATATAAAAGAGATCATTATATGATGGAAACATTTTTTTAACAATATAAGGTAATAAGAAAAAATATGTCTAAATCAAAGCTAACATCAATATTTAGTGCAATGGTTGACTATTGTGATCAAGCTAAGTCAAAGTATTATCGATGACCTCCGTGTAGACGTATGTAGGTTAAGTACTTTTTAGTTGAAAGTTGAGACAACAAGGCGTATATTATTATCAGTAATGGGTTGGGAACTGCAAAGGCATTGCATTACACAGAGTATGTTTATTACTACCAAAGATTAGTTCTTTCGCTGATAAATTTGGAGACTCTTTTTTGGATGCTAAACTATGATAACATCATTATGAAGATTAATTGTAAATTTTAACTATTAAAAAGGTGGAACCCTCTTATAGAATTTGCTCTAAAGATTAATTCTCAAAATTATCTCGAGATTTTTTTTTTTTTTTTTTTTTTTTGTAATACTTGTGGAATTCACAAAAAAAAAATAAAAAAAAAAATAAAAAAAAAATTATCCTATCGAATTACAATCTACCAAGAAAATGGAGAAAACAAATTATAAACAAGGGAATATAACAACCTTTGGGGGTCTATATTTTAAACGAGACAAAAAACTTGTAACCGATTAAACAAGTTGTCTATGACACGTGTCTTTATATAATTGGTCTAAATTAACAATTTTTGATTTTTTTTTCAAAATAAATATTTTTGATAAAAAAATATTAAAAAAAAACCCCAAGCCCCAACCAGCAGCACCTTTCACCGGCGACCCTCCTCCCTACCACACACCTAACCCCGGCGAACGCCACGATGGCGGCATTAACGCAAGGAAATGGCAACCCTAAGCCCGACCTCAACATGCTTTGAGAGGGCTTGATAAGGGTGGAAGCCGTTTTGAGTTCGTGGAGGGGTAGGGGGTCGAGGCTTGTGAACGGTGGGGTGAGCAAGCAGTGGCCGGGAAAAGGGTGGGGTTTTGAGGCCAATGAATTTCTAGTTTTCGGGGCTGGGTTTCATGTTAATTTTATGGTTTTCAGGGCTGGGTTTCAGGCAGTTAGTGGTCGCGAAGGGAAAGGTCGACTAAAGGGCTAGGTCGGCGGCACATTTTCGATGGTTTGGTGAGGAAGATGGGTCGTCAGAGGTGGTGGAGCCTTGGACTGGTAGTGTTGGTGGGGAGGAGAGAGAAGTTTCAAAAAAAAAAAAAAAAAAAAAAAAAAGAAGTCAATTATAGGGAAACACATGGCATAGTTAACCCGTTAAATAGGTTACAACCGGTTTTTTCCTATTTAAAATTAAAATCCCCCAAAGGTTGTAATATTTAGTGATCCAAAGGTTATATTATATTTTTTTTAAAAAAAAAGGGGTCAAAGGTTGTATTATAAATGACATTTTTTTGTTTATTAAATTTCATTTAAAGTAGAAAAATCAAATGAATATGGTCAATTTTGGACATATCTTTGGTAGACAAGTGTACCACAATATGTTTGGTCAAGTACTCAAGTGCCATACAAAGAGTATAAGATGATGAGAGCCTCCTCAATTACAATTTGACATTTTCTTGTGAAACTACCTATCATGGTGGATAGGTTTTGGATAAATCAAGCTAGAGGTTCAATTGTATATAAC